TGAGGACAACCTGGTCTACAAAGATAGTTCCAAGACACTACATTGACACAGAGTAAAACAAAACAAAATAAAATAAAAATTATGATAGCAAACGAACAGAAGTTCTTGAAAGATCATGGCTCAGCAGGGTAAAGGTGTTTGCTACCAAGCTTGACAACCAGAGTTTGATACCTGAGACCCACATGGTAGAAGGAAAGATGCCCACTGACTTCCATGGGCATGTCATAGCACATACAACTGAACTCATACACATACTCGCACACAATACATTGTTTTGCTTTGCTTTTTTGAGACATTTTCTCTGTGTAGGCCTGCCTCTCTACCTCCAGAGCGCTGAGATTAAAGAAGTGGGCCGCCACCACCCGACAACAATAAATTAATAAATATAAAAATTAAAAACTAATACTAAAACTAGAAAGTGGTATCTTTCTTTTATACTCTATTATGATGTGATTTGATTATATAAACTTCATTTAATAGAATCTTAAAAGAATCTTTGCTAGTGCAATATTAAATTATTTATCAAAGTGATTTACTGTATTGGGTTTAAAGTTACAGGTGCGTGTGTGCGTGCGTGCGTGCGTGCATGCGTGCGTGCGTGCGTGTGTGTGTGTGTGTGTGTGTGTGTGTGTGTGTGTGTGTGTGTGATTCACCCTCACACTTTTCTAGGGATTGAACTTGAGGATTTGGGCATAGCTAGACAAGCATTCTACTTTTGAACCACAGCTCCAGTCCCAATTTTGTCATCTAATTGTACCTACTTCTCAATTTATTTTCAAGAACTCATTATTTTACTGAATAGTAGTGGCACATACCTTTAATCCCAGCACTTGTGAGGCAGAGATAGGCTGATCTATGAGTTTAAGACCAGCCTGGTATACAGAGTGAGTTCTAGGACAGCCAGGACTATAGAGTAACCCTGTCTCAAAAAACAAACAGAAACCCTCATTATTTTTAATAATTATGTCTTATATGAAAATTGTATTCTGTACATGATGCATTATATCCTTGAGTCTACATTTCTATTTAATGTGTTCTGACATATAATTTTTATTACAATGAAGTGTAATTTTAAAGACTTCTCAGGTAATTGAAATATTAATCATGGAGTAAATTGGTAGACCTGGAAAATTCTTTAAGTTTTTTTGAACCAGGAAGTGAAAATGTCAATAATCATTCTCATTGTTTACTGGGGATTGCTTTTCATGTTTGCAACTCAAAATAAAAACATATGTGAGTCACAGATTCTAATTCTTTGACTAGGCATTTGTGAAATACTTTTCTAGCTGCAGAGGTTACCTTGAGTCTGAATTTCAGCTAAGGCAGGCCCGATGACTCACAAACACTTTGTTAAAAAGAAATTACTGAGACATATCTATAGTTATCTCAGATGTTTTTGAAAATAAGAGTAAAAAGCAAATGCTGATTGAAATGTATTTAATAGGATTTGGGCATTTTAAACCAACATTAGCTTTTTATTCTATAGCTTCACTAAAAGTCGCTGTCATCATTGGGCATGTTAAAATTTAAAGACTCCCTGTGCCCCTTGTCTTTGTTGTCTGTTAAATTATTCACTTAAGCAATGGGCATGGTGATGCACACCTCTGATGCCAGGAATTTGGGAGACTGAGGTAGCAGCAATGAAGGTTTGAGGACAGACAGCTTGGGCAAAGTTGTCTTCTCCATAAACTAATGAATAAATGAATGGATGGATAAAAAATACAAATAAATAAATAAATCTATTACTTCTTTTAGAAGTGTTTGCTAGGTACTACTCTTGAATTATTCTGAAAAGTATAAAAAAGCATATTTCTTCTAATACTAACTCAATGGCAAAATTAATACAAGTGAAATAATAGAAAAACAATTCAGGATAAAATATATTAAAGGCATGATGAGGGATTATGAAAATAATGTGTGAAAATACCACAGCTGGAACCCCTAGAAAAGGGGTCCTTTGTAAGGCAAGGCTCAAGGAGGTTTGGAAAATGAGTAAAACATTAAAGGCTAAAAAGAAGCAAAAAAAAGTCCTCTTATGAAGAAAACAAAAGGGGTATTTAGGTGTGTTTCTGGGATTGGGCTTCTTTTCTGGGCTCCTAGGTTTCCATCTGCAAAACAAAAGCTAAGGATTTGCTCAAAGTAAAGGACTGCTGATAGCATCAATGGATAAACTGATTGCTTGAGCTCTCATCTATTTAATCCATTGAAAAGATAAATTACCATGGGTACCAGGCCTCCTATCTGCAAGATTCAGCCAACTGTGGTTAGAAAATATTTTTTGATTTTATCTTTTACTGGCCACATAGGGGCTTTTTTTCTCTAGTCAGTATTTTTTTCTAAATAATACAGCTACCATTTATCCAAAGTTTTAAAGTACACTGTAGGATTCACATAAATTTAATGCAAACGCGTTTTAAAGAATTGAACATCCACAAGAATCCAGGAACCAGTCTCCTACAGATTTCAAGTATGGGGTGGGAACTATATTGGATACACTTACTTTGGAAACGTAAAAGTCTCCTGACTGTTGTCTTACAGTCGTTGGACACTACATTACAGAATGTCTTGCTTTTGTCTACATAAATTTTGTAGCACTATACTTTTGGTATAGTGCTATCAATTACCTCATCTACCTAATATTGACACATACCATATTTTGTTTTTATTTTTATTTGATTTCTTTTATTTGTTTGCTTTTCAAGACAGGGTTTCTCTGTTACTTAATTTCTTTAGGTTTTAAGATCTTTTTTTTTAAAACAGAGTCTCTCTCTCTATGTGGCCCTGGTTGGCTTAGAACTCACAGAGATCCTCCTGCCTCTTCCTCCGAGAATGCTGAGATTAAAGGCACATGCAATCATTCCTGGCATTGTTTTACTTTAAATTATTATTATTATTATTATTATTATTATTATTATTATTATTCCATGGTTCGCTATGTCTACGTTCTGAGTTGCCTTGTGAAGTCAACTTGCATCAGAAGAATGACAATTGCCTTCTCTTCATTAACCTACAACTATGGCCACCAAATAGAACTCATCCAAAATGTACTGAGGGGAGTTATTGAACATGCCAGTACATATATACCATGACTCCATGACTACATCCAAGAGTTGGTTCTCTCCTGTCAACATGAGTTCCAGATAAGGAACTCAGATCATCATTACATAAATGGAGACTTTTCTGTCCCACCTGGTCCCACAGCCACTTTTAAAATAATTACCAAGAGGCTTAATATTAATTACAAACTGTTTGACCTATTGTTCAGGTCTATTACTAACTAGCTTTTACAACTTAAATTAACCAATTTCTATTAATCTGTACATTGCCAAGTACCTGTGGCTTAACAGTTCTCTGATAACTTGTCCATTGGGTGGCTGGATCCCATCTGCCCAAACTCTACCCTTCTTCTCCAGTATCTCTGCTTGGACTTCCTGCCTGGCTCTGTCCTGCATCAGCATAGGTTAAATCAGCTATTTTATTAACCAATGGTAATAAAACATATTCACAGCATACAAAAAGGTCATCCCATAGCATCACTAGGGTAGCACTGCAATGATTTTTGGCCGTTGAGACATCTTGCTGAACTTTTTTGTTTGATTTTTGAAATCTGACCTTACACTGTAGCCTAGGTTATCCTGGAACTCAAGATGATATCCCTAGTTCAACTTCCTAAGTGCTGGAATTACATCACTTTGCTTTTAGAATAAGTATGAATAGGACTGTGACTTAAAAGGATGCTAAGGTAGGTGAGTGTGCTGGCTAGACCCTATTTATCATCTTGTGTATCAAGGTTATAAAGAGAAATATTCAAATTTAAAACTTCATCAGAATGTAAATTTCAAACAATGAAGTTTTCAGGAGAAGAAAGAAAAAAGTTCTGCTAAAGATATTTTGAAGACTCTTTGGAATAAATCATAAAGCACATTTAAAAATCCATGAAGATGATGCCTGAGATTCCACATTACTAAGCAGGCTCTTAAAGAAACAGATGTAACTCATCTGTTGTATTTGGTTACTTAATTCTTGAATATGTTTTGACCACATTTTGGTGAATTTTAGAGTCTGTGTCTCTTGTTTTTGGGTTGGTGTGTGTGTGTAAGAGAGAAAGAGAGAATATACATATATAATCATTTTAAAATACTATCACAATTTACCATTCCTCTAAAAATTCTCACGTTTAAATATTTGACTCTGTATCTACCAAATGCAAAATAACATTTAAAAGAAACAGAGATATTGACAATGTTGATCGAGTGGACAAATTTTGCAATATCAAGCTAACACAAAGAAAGTAGTTACAGCCGGGCGTTGGTGGTGCACGCCTTTAATCCCAGCACTTGGGAGGTAGAGGCAGGCAGATCTCTGTGAGTTCGAGGCCAGCCTGGTCTACAGAGTGAGTTCCAGGACAGCCTCCAAAACAATACGGAGAAACCCTGTCTCGAAAAACCCAAAAAAAAGCAGTTACAAAGACCATGTATTGTTATGATTCTAGTTACATGCAATTCACACAAAAAAGGTAAGTTAGTAGTTTCTAGGGAGAAGAATTGGAGGAGGAAAATAAGCAATCACAGCTCATGGAGAAGGTGTTCCTTTTAGGGAAGTGGTTCTCAACCTGTGAGTCACAACCCCTTTGGGGGTTGCATATCAGAAACCCTGCATATCAGATATTTACATTATGATTCATTAACAGTAGGACAATGCAATTCAATTTACCAAAAATGAGATTTAAGATAAATGTTACATGATTATTTTAAATTAAATTGGAAGCAGAGTTTTGATAGCAAAAGATAACATGTTTTTTCTTTGATATTTTTAGAACATTTTGATTTACCATATGACAACTAGTTCAAAGATTTAAATCATAGAAGTTTTTTAAATATAACTTGCAGTTATAAAGTTAATTGGATATTTGGTTTAAATACCATCGCGGTTCTTTAGGAAATGTCACAGAAGGCTTACCTAATAAGAGTTTTCACTGGCACTAGGCAACATCTCTTGGTAGCACTTGCATGTGTTTTTATTCAACTGGTGGACAAAGGCAAGAGAGACAAGTGTGAAAACAAATCCTTTTTTGCAGTCTAGAACCCATTGTTCAGTATGAGTTTTGATACATATAAGAAGGAACATGATACTTATGCAAGAGGAAAGAAACATACCTGGGTTAATTCAACAAGAATGTGCTGGCTGTGCTATGTACTAGTGTCGTAGGATTACCAGGTTTAAAGGTACAAGCAGACAGAAGAGCTGTCTACCCTTCACACACTGGGCAGTACTCTGGGAAGATAACGCCCAGGTAGTAGACAAGATCCCACAGATTTTTAACTAAGCCTAACAAAGTGCCACAAACATTTGTGTGTGTGTACATAGAAGAGTCATGTTTGTGTGGGGGTGTTCATCTGTGTGTGTAGGCCAGCTGTCATCTTCTGTGCCCTTGTCCATCTTAGCCTTTTGAGATATGATCTCTCAATGATACTTGAGGCTCTCCCATTAGACTAGATTGGATAGTCAGAGAGTCCTAGGATTCGACTTATCTCTCTCTCTCTTTCTAGCACCAAGTTTACACATGGGTGCCACTGTGCTCCATTTTTTAAAGTATATCCTTTTAAAAATATTTTGAGGTTATAATATTGTGTTGGCTAGTTTTGTGTCAACATGACACAAGCTATAGTCATCAGAGAAGAGGGGGCATCAGTTGAGAAATGTCTCTGGAACATTCTGGGTTATCTATAAGAAAGCAGGTTGAGAAAGACATGGCGAGCAAGTCAGTAAGCACAGTAAGTAGCACCACTCCATGGCCTAGCCTTGCCTTTGTATCACTTCTGGACTTTAGGTGTGTGTGTGTGTGTGTGTGTGTGTGTGTGTGTGTGTGTGTGTGAGCACACACACTACAGGATTTTTTCCATTTGTTTTTTGAGACGGGTCTTACTGTGTAGTCTTGCTGGCTTGGAGCTTGTTTTGTGCCCCAAGCTACCCTTGAATTCATAGAGATCCTCTTGCCTCTGCCTCTTGAGATCTGGAATTAAAGTCATGTACTACCATGCCTCACATATATATTTAAATATATAACTATAATCTCCTTAGTCTGGATAATGCTACTTTTATGTATGTATTTCGAGTTGACTCTGTAGTATTAGATAACCCCTCTGGCTGTGGGTGGGGAGAGTGGTGTTTAGGAAAGGGTAAAGGGGGATAGAACACATAAGACATGAAAGCAGGAAGGAAGATGTGAGGGAGGATACCAGCTTTTTTTTTTTTTTTTTTGGTTTTTCGAGTCAGGGTTTCTCTGTATTGTTTTGGAGGCTGTTGGTCCAGCCTGGCCTCGAACTCACAGAGATCTGCCTGCCTCTGCCTCCCGGATACCAGCTTTTTAATGTGAATGGTTAGGAATATGAAATTAGGTCCTTGTGCTTGTGTGGCAAACATGTTACTGACTGCGCTACTCCTATTCTCATATAAAATTAAAATTAAAAGAACATTTTCTGGTGTCTTCTTTAATTTCTTTCTTTAAAGACTCAAAGTTCTTGAGATACAGGTCTTTCACTTGTTTGGATAGCGTTACCCCGAGGTATTTTATGTTGTTTGTGGTAATTGTAAAGGGTGATGTTCCTCTGATTTCTTTCTCTGCCCTTTTATTGTCTGTATATAGTAAGGCTATTGATTTTCTTGAGTTGATCTTGTATCCTGCCACTTTGCTGAAAGTATTTATCAGCTGCAGGAGCTCCCTGGTAGAGTTTTTCTGGTTACTTATGTAGTAAGCAAATAGTGAAAGTTTGACCTCTTCCTTTCCAATTTGTATTCCCCTGACCCCTTTTTGTTGTTGTAGTGCTCTATCTAGAATTTTAAATACAATATTGAAGAGGTATGGAGAGAGTGGACAGCCTTGTCTTGTTCCTCATTTTAGAGGAATTGCTTTGAGTTTCTCTCCATTTAGTTTTATGTTGGCTGTTGGTTTGCTGTATATAAATTTTATTATGTTTAGGTATGTTCCTGTTATCCCTGATCTCTCCAAGACCTTTATCATGAAGGGGTTTTGGATTTTGTCAAAGGCTTTTTCAGCATCTAGTGAGATGATCATGTGATTTTTTTGTTTCTCAGCTTGTTTATATGGTAGATTACATTGATGGATTTTTGTATGCTGAATCATCCCTGCATCCCTGGGATGAAGCCTACGTGACCATGGTGGATGATTATTTTGATGTGTTCTTGGATCCGATTTGTCAGTATTTTATTGAATATTTTTGCATCAATGTTCATGAGGGATATTGCTTTGACGTTCTCTTTCTTAGTTATGTCTTTGTGTTGCTTGGGTATCAAGGTTATTGAAGCCTCATAAAAAGAGTTTGGCAAAGACTCTTCTGCTTCTATTGCCTGGAATAATTTGAGAAGTATTGGTATAAGCCATCTGGACCTGGGCTTTTTTTGGTTGGGAGACTTTTGACGACTGCATCTATTTTCATATGGGTTATAGATCTATTTAAATTGCTTATCTGTTCTTGATTTAATTTTGGCAAGAGATAGCTATCCAGAAAATTGTCCATTTCCTTTAAATTTTTAAATTTTGCGGAGTACAAGTGTTCAAAGTATGACCTGATGATTCTCTAGATTTCCTCAGTGTCAGTTGTTATGTGCCCCTTTTCATTTCTGATTTTGTTAATTTGAATGTTCCCATTCTGCCCTTTCCTAAGTTTGGATAAAGGAAAAAAAACATAGGCTGGAGAGATGGCTTAGTTGTTTTAGAGTGTATCATTGTTCTTGTAGAAGTTGAGTTCAGTTCTCAACACCTACTTTAGGTGACACACAATTGCTTGTACGTGACTTTTATCCCCAAAAGTGGCAATCCTGGGCTATCCAGGGAGACTCTTTATCTAAACCATGATAAACAAACAAACAAAATGAACAAGAAAAAAAACAGGTCTAGGCTGAACACATTACTTGGTAATAAATGGACTGTTTACTGTATGTGTGGCCCTGGGCTACATCTCTAGCATCAAAAAAGGAGAAGAAATGAACAGCACTGTATCAGGATGCTAAAACCATACTGAAATAATCAGAATGATAAGAGTGGCCAACACTAGCCTGAAGGCTTCATCTGTTGCTGTCTATTCTTACAAACTAAGTAGGAATGGCGTACTACCACACCCACTTGCTTACCTGTTTTGTATGGTTGCTTCTATGTTACTACAACAGTCTTGAATTGTTAAAACAGAGATTATATGGCCTGTATGCAAGGAATACTTGGTATGCATGGGCTGGGGTGTGGTCCGAGGGTGGAACACTTGGCTAGCATTCCCCAGACCCTGGAGTAATCACCACCACCACCACCACCATCATCCAAGAACACACACACAAGTCCCAGTCCTTTTCAGAAAAACATTGCTGACTCCTGATTTAAAAGCATTTCTTAGTAATATGATCTTATCTCATAGGACATACTTTATCTGGATTCTACAATGTATTTGAATTTTTATTTTTAATTTTATTGTTTTTAATTATGTACATGGGAATGTATGTGCACCACGAGTGCTTTTACCAGCATTTGAGTGGTTGAGGTAGGAAGATTGTGAATCCCAGGATAGTTTAGGCAATACAGTAAGTCTGCCTTTAAGTGCAGTATATCGTCTGGGATGTAGTTTAGTTGGTAGACTACTTGCCTAGCATGCACAATGACACCCAAGTTTTTATCAATGTCACTGCATAATCTGGCCACAGTAGTACACAGCTGTAATCCCAGTACTCAGGACATGAAGGCAGGTGGATCAAAAGTTCAATATCATCCTTAGCCACATAAAATTTCTAAAGCTATAAGTCAGTGGGAATGTTCAGTGGTTATAGATGTTTGTCACCTACCTTGACTAGCAGATTTGGATCCTAGAAACCCACAGAGTGGAAGAGAACTGACTTCCACAGGTGTCCTCCACAAACCTGTATACATATATGTTTATGACCACACAATAACTAAACAAAACAAATGTCATAACAAAACAACAATAATGTATTAAAGTCTGAAGTCAGCCTGGTCTACATACGGTCTTGTCTCCAAAACATATAGACAGGAATGTGAGATAGCTCAGTGACATTAAGGCATTTACCACCAAGCTTGATGACATGAGTTCTATTCCTGGAACTCAAATGGCAGAGAGAAAGAACAGACTCCTACAAGTTCATTAACTTGTACATACATGCTGCAGCATGCATGCACCGTGCTACACAAGCACTTCTAGTTCACAAAATAAAGTAGTACTTTAAGTAAAGCCAAATTATAACACACTTATACTTTACCTTTCTTCTCAATTCCATACTCAGGTCTGAATGTTGGTACCCACCCCCATTTCCGCTTAAGTATTGAAAGCTAATTATTAAGGGGTTGGTATTTAAAAGTGGGGTATTTGGGAGACCAGAATCTCTGGAGGCAGAGGCAGGAAGATTAACACAAGGCATTCCTACTCTACATAGTAAGTTCCAGGCCAACTTGGTTTTACATTAGGAGATCCGGTCTCAAAAAAAATCAAGTCAAAACAGCAAAATAAAATGAACTAACAGTTTAAGTAACTTTTGCCCAAGATCAGTTTAGCTAATGAAACAAGACCTGGGTGTGCAGAGGGGATGATAGCCCATAATTGCAGCCTAGGGATTTTATATGAAACATTGCCAGACTTCAGTCCTGTGAAATAAAGCAAAAATAAGAAAACTACCTATGACTTTGCTATTCTTCTCACTTCCATTAAAAATTAGCTCGCTCATAGGTAGTAACTTCTTAGATAAGCATATTTATTTCATGTTCTGATCTGAATCTTAGTAACTTTTCCACTCTCCATTCAAGTTTTGAAACTTAATCAGCAAGAAAATTAGGGTATTTGGTCAAAAGGATGGAGCTCTCATGAAGGGTATTAGTGCCCTTATAAAAGAGACCCCAAGGCAGCCATGTGAGGACACTTGATGGCATCATCTATAATGCCAAGTCTTCATATGGCCTGCAGTCTGTCTTCTGGAACTTGATCTGCTTTCTAGAATTGTGACCAGTGAATTTCTATTGTTTAGGAATCATAGGTATTAATCTAAGACAGTGTCTTTCAACCCTCCTAAAGCTTCAACCCTTTGATAACAGTTCCTCATGTTGTGGTGATCCCC